TCTCCTGTCTAACATTAGAAAGTCAGGAATCTGATTAAATCCTCAAATGAATGTTTCCTCAGCTTGTCAGACCTGGTACTCTGACCTCCTATGCTTGGATCCAGACCTTTTGCTCTAACAGTTCTCTCAGGTTTCTTATCTCCCAACTTAGGACCAGACATGTCAAATGACAAGATGAAAGATGGCAATAACATTCAACTGGAGCTAGGAAAAAAGCCTTATGGTAAAACACATCTTTAGAGAAGCCTGGGAAACATTTCCCAACTGTAACACAGTAGGATGGCCTCCCTCCCACTACATGCAGCAGATGCATACGGTTAATGGATTGTAGATCAGGCTCACAAGCTGACCCAGGAGGTCAGAGAATTGGCAAGAGGCATGAAGTTGCTCTGCAAAAGGAGGAGATCCAAGCCAGCTTACAAGAGAGCACAAAGCAAAAGCCAACACAAGAAGCCCATGCTAAGTAAGATTTTCTGGGTATGATTACACAGGGAAAGTCTCTTGGTTAGAAGATGTCATTGCCACAGGTCTTAAAGCCAGTTTGGTAAGAAAGACTTGTTCTGGGATTTATTGTCTCAATACAAATTTATTCCAGTATGAAAGGACAGGCCTTCAGCTGTGGAGCAGCAAACCAGGAAGCTGATGTTTGTACAAAACCAGCACACATTAGTAAGGGATGCGTGTTACCTTTATTGTAATTTCAAAGTCTGAGACCTCAAGGCTTTATATTACACAATACTACTTTCCTGACATTAAAAATTGAGCACAGAGTACAATGCACTGGGAACAAAATCAAGTTTGCATACAAATAATGCTACCAAGGATATAATCCAAGGCATACTCTTTAATCTCCTTGGGCAATACTTCATTGAGCACTGGCACAATGCTCCTTCCCAGTATAACTTAAGACTACCAGTGTAGTGTAGCTGATTTAACATAATATACTGTAGAGCTCAAGTAAACATCTCTGAGAATGATGCGGCTTTAACATTTTCTGCTCTCAGAACCTGCTTCAAAACCTGGATTGTCCCAAGTTGCGACAGTATAGCTGACTGTGAACTCAAGCACCTTCTCTTACCAAACTATGTAATGCACATCCACTCATCCCCTAAGTGGCAGAAATTTAAGGCTGCATGGTACTACAACAACAAAGTAATTTTCTTGCTAATGATTTTCTTTTCTGCTAATATATTTACAGATATTGATCCACAGTCTGGTCCTGATGGTGATGTCAGTGTAGTAGAGTCAAATCCTGAAAACTCAAGGCAAAATGGAGAAAAAAAACCCCCAACAAACCACCATATTTAATGCCCACCAAAACTCTTTAGACATTGAGGTTTTGGTTGTTTGGGGTTTTTTTTTTTTTTTTGGTTTTTTTTGGTTTTTTTTTTGTTTTGTTTTGGTTTGTTTGTTTGTTTTAAACCTCTCACCTTGCCTGCACAATGACCTAGTGATAAGGATGAGCAAAGGAGCTGGCCCTCCTGCTAGTCTCTGCCCACTGCAACTATACAGGTGACTGCCCCTATGGCAGAGGAGTTTTGTGAAATGGAGTAGCTGGAAAAAACACACTCTAGTGTCTCTAATGAGTTATGAGCAAAAAAGTGAAGGGATCTTCCAACACAAATCCAGCACAGATGCTGCAAGCTCATGCTACTATTTAGTCCAGGTCACAATGCCTCCAGCTTTATTCCAAAACTTATGCAAAAACCTGAAACCACTTAAGGATAGAACAAAAACATCTAAGTGTATAACAATGAGGTATTTGGAATCCTTAAAGTAACGGGATGCCTTAGTGGCCTAGTGGCAAACAGTCAGAATTTTGTTTTCAGTCTGTCTTATCTGGCTTCTTGGATCAAGAAGTATTAGAGTGGTTAGAAGTATTTTGGGATGATGAGGAAGGAGTCTTATTTTTCTTCTCAGAAGATGGGCTACATACATACTTTCTTCTTCCACTTACTTGTGTTTCTACGTGTTTGCTACTCATATATAAAACCAGAACTCTCTACATGGGAAACAAGAAAATATGATGAACCAAGTGTGGACAAAAGCAAAAGATGAGGAAACCTGGTTATGATGCAGTGAAGATCTGCAAGCAAAGACTGCAATTAGCCCTCCAAAACGTGGTTAATGCCTCAGACAGCCTGAGTGTGCGGGTCTGCTTATAGAAACATCGGATTTCAACCACAGTAGCTACTATAACCTCACTGTCAAGGAGCAACCTAAAGTAGCACAGAAACCTTTAATCTAAAAAGTCTCAGTGTTATTGCTGTCCTGGTCCTTCACTAGAGAACTTTGCTGGCACAGCAACTACTATAAATAGTATGGTTTAAGGAGCCATAAAGTCACACAGAAATAGTTGTGCTAGTAAAGCTTAATATAAAAATAGATACAACTCTGCCAGAACAACACAGCTTTCTTCATCTTAAACTGGCTAATTTGGGTCAGAAAGGAGGAAAAAAATTTAATTCTAGGAGGGGGAAAAAAATCCACCACCACCAAATCCTCTTTTTCAGACCTACCTACATTGCTAGAGACTGTGCTAAACTGGCCATGGGGGCATAAGTATGGTGACAAAGGTGATTCTGCAGCAGAAATACTTTTGCTTTTAGAGAAGCAGCAGTAAATAAACATGGTGCGTAAGACCAAGAATCATTTCACAGTTGAGCATCTTTACTAGAAGGAAACAGAAGAAGTATGGCTGCAGGAGATTTTGGTCACCTAATCTGTCCTGGACAAAGAGTCAAGCAAGAACCATAATGGTACATTTGTCTACCTTGTCCTTAAAAATCTCCAGTGACAGAGGTTCTAGCTGAAATACTGTGCTTATACACTGCTGCTAATCCACTTCTTCAATGATCACTTATTGTTCTTAAAATTCTTAAAAGTCTTTATTTCATAGAGAAGAAAACAGATGCCTATACCTAAAGGCTAAACCGTACGAGGACAGATGTTAGTGCTAAAATTGCACATGTGACAGGGGTATAGAAAGCCATATGTAGTCTAGCAATAATACACCCAGCTTTTATCAGTGAAGACACAGCTTCAGCCACTTCTGCACTTTCTGCAGAGCGGATAAAGAAAACAATCAGCACCTGGCAGAAGG